TTAAATGGTTCAGTGTTTGGATGTGAACCCAGTAACTCTACAGGAGGAAAGGCTGGAAATCTGCTCCAGTGAAGCCCTCAAGCTTAGAAAACACGGGAACTTTCTACTCAGTCACTCGAGGTTGTTATGAATAGGAGTCGACTCAATGGCCCGCACTAACAAGACCTAAGCTGGCTGTTCATGATAGTTTGCCAGAAATATGCTATAAGGAAAATAACAATACATAAAGTACTCGTTATAGAAGGCTAGGGAAATCTAGCAAACTATAGGTAAGAGAGTCACTTGTTGTTGGCGTTAGGTATCTTGTGTTGGTTCCGACCCATAACCACCTTCCGTACAACAGCCTGAAACCCTGCCTGGTCCTGTGCATCCTTCAGTCATTCCTATGCCTGTGCCCATTGCTGCAGCCAGTGGGTCAATCCACATTGTTGAGAGCCTTCCTCTTTCTCTGCCCCTCCACGCCCCCCAGAATGATGTCCTTCTCCAGGGACTGGTCTCTCCTGACAACATGTCGTCATCCTCGCCTCTGAGGAGCAGTCTGGCCTTCCTTCTACCAAGACAGATCGGTGTGCCCATTTGGCAGTCCGCGGTGCTTTGGATATTCTTCTCCAGCGCCACAATGCAAATACATGGATTCCTCTTCCGTCTTCCTCATTCAGTGTCCAACTTTCACATGCATAGGAGGCAACCGAAGATATCATGGATTGGGCCAGGCACACCTTAGTCCTTAAAGTAACATCCTTGCTTTTCAATACCAGTAGGCACTCTGAAAACCATTGGCGCCACCCGGTGTCTTTTGACTCATGGAGACTCTGTGTGTCAGAAGAGAACTGTGCTCCGGTGGGTTATCAATGGCCGATTTGGGGACGTGGGCTGCCAGGCCTTTCTGCTGAGGACCCTCCAGGTCGACATGTACCTTCAGCCTTCATGTGTAGCTGAGCACATTGACTATGTGCACCACTTGGACAAAGGACTAGTGGTAACTCATTTGTTATTAATATTTGTTTGCCATCTCTACCCGAAGTGAGCAGGTGACCTTATGGAGCTTTTGTGTATCAATTTACACACACACACACACACACACACACACAGAGCGAGGCTTCCAAAAGTTCATGGGGAAAATTCCATTATTTTTTCATTTCACTTCTCCATGGACTTTTTGAAGCCCCTCCTGCATGTTGTGTTGGGGCCATGGAGCCGGTTCCGACTGCTGTCCCCCTGCTGACAACAGAAGGAAACACGGCTTGAGCTGCGTCACCCTTCCTGTCGTTGAGATGTCCGAGTCCACTGTGACAGCCCCTGTTCGTCCATCTCACGCAGGGCCTGCCTCTTGTCCAATATCTATATTATATCTGTATTAAAGTCAACCGAGTTTGACTCTGCCATTTTAATCTTGACTTTGACCATCAACATTACACAATAAGAACCCTCTCTTGCTTTGAAAACTGAACAGGCATCATTCGTCTTGGGTGCCTAACCAGCCTGCCTAAATGTTCCTCCAAGAATAGTGAGTGCAATGCCTTCAGATCATTTTTCGATACAGTAAATCATATATCAAAAAAGTAAAAGGGAATTTTCGGGAGGCAAGGACGCGTATGATCATTGTAGAAAACTTGGAAAACCTAGAAAATATTTCTAAGAGAATGAAAGTCACCCCTGAGCTTTCCCACTCTTGAACATTTGAGTCTCTTTGCCTCCTTTAATGAATGTTTTTCTGCAAAAATCAGTATTGCACCAGCTAAGCAATTTGGAGTATCTTGCTTCTTCTTCCAAGATCTCCATCCTGAGCATTATGGGCTGGACTGTGTCTCCAGAAAGTTTGTTATAAATTCTGAGCTCTTTACCTGAGCCTATCCATCCATTTTGGAGTGGTTCTTTGTTAATGTTCGTGAGGCAGTGTTAGTTTAGGTGTGTTTTAAGTCCATCTCTTCTGAGATGGACAGAAGAGCTTAACGAGCCAGGGAGGAAGCAGAAATGGGGTGTGTCTGATGCTTCGCCATGGGGCAGTCACCGAGGAGCCAAGCAATACAATCTGAAGAGACAAGGGCCTTCCCCTAGAGCTGAAAGACCGGAAAGAGCCTCCCTAAGACCAGTGCCCTGAATTCAGACTTCTAGCTTTCTCAGCCATGGAAGAATCGATTTGTTTAGTAGAGGCCCCCTCCTGACACACACACTACCGCCCCTTGTTACAGCAACACTTGACCAACGCTGCTGAAGCCGTGGGTCTGCAAAACATTTGGCGACAGTGAAATGTTTCTGACCCACAGTGACCAGACCAAAACGTAATTCAAAATCAACAGAATCTGATGTGTTTCTGTCACCACTCGACCGAGGTGCAAATTGCTCGTGTGGAAAGGCCCGAGAGAACAAATACTTCAGAAACCCTTCACGACTAAGACAGCAAGCACTGCTCTAAGCCATCAAAATGCATCTGTAACATCCCTTTTGGTGGCTGTTCAAACTTTTAGCTAGTGCCTGTAGCCTGGTTTCCTTTATTGTCGTGCGTTTAACTTGTTTCCAGTTATTCATGGCTATACATAGTACCATAAGGCACCTACCAAAATCAAAACCAGCCTCACTGCCAATGAGTCCATTCCGACACACAGTGACCTTATATGACAGAGTAGAACTGCCCCTGTGTGTTTCAGAGAGTAACTATGGACAGGAAAAGAAAGCCGATCTTTCTCCCCAGCAGCAGCTGGTGGTGTTGAACTGCTGACCTTGCAGTTAGCAGCTCAATGTGTAACCACTATATTTCCAGGGCTGGTTCACATAAGTCTTACTTTGTGTTTTATGTTGATTTCTTTGGGAGTGACTGCTTAACGAGGAACACCAGACTGGATATTGTTGAGAAACAAAGCAAACTCTTTTTATATTTTCATATGTCATCATAGGACTTTCCAATTCCATAAGTCTTCCCATTTCAAAATTTTGAAGTCTTTACGTTCCAGACTGGTGAAGGTAGCAGCATAGAGTCCTTCCAGTGTGGGAGTTACGGCCTGTGCTGGCTTACACTGGCCAGAGCTAAGTATTTCTCATGTCTTTTCCAAACTCGTGACTTGGGACAGGTGACAAAAGGAATCTCCCGGTCTCTTTCTGGGTAGCATGTTTGTCTGATTGTCTGAGTTTGTATTATTGTGTGAGGGGCCATCAATTGGACCCCAGTAGACAGCACAGCGAAGTGAAGCTTTGCCCCGAGCCGTGCCATCCTCACAATCACTGCGATCATCGGTGAGTCGGTTTTTGCAGCCACCGTGTCAGTCTTCTTCGATTTTACTGACTTTCTGTTCAACCAGGCATGATGTCCTTTCCCAGGGACCGGTCTCTCCTGACAACAGTGTGTAACCACTATGCCACCAGCGTTCCATGTGGCTATACAGACCAGTGCAGTCAAGCGACTGTTCCAGGTAAGTGAGGACACACAGTTGCTTGTCTGCCAGGGCACATAAAAGTTACGTTGGCACTGTACTGTAGTCTATTACGTGCGCACAGCGTGAGGAAAGAGTTTGAAATATTGTGAGAATGACCAATATGTGCTGCAGGTGAAGTGAGTCCATCCTGTCGCCGTAAGGTTGCCACAAACCTTCTGTGTGTGAAAAGTGCAATATTATCTCAAGCACAGTCGCATGAGGCCCTGGTGCGTAGTGGTCATGCACTGGGCTGCTCACTGCAAGGCCAGCAGTTGGAAACCACCAGCCTCTCTGCAGGAGAAAGACAACACTTTCTACTCCCGGGAAGAGTTACAGTCCTGAGAACCCACGGGGGCAGTTCACTCTGCCCTGCCCTCTAGGGTGGCTATGTGTTGGAATCAGCTCAATGGCAGTGAGAGGTCTATAGTAGGATTGGGATTTCGGGTCGTATAGTAGTTGCACACTACATTCTTCTCCATAGGGTCGGGGGCTAGATCGTGACCCCTTCGTGTCTGTAACTTAGCACCCAGCACCCAGCTCAACGCCTGGCAATGTACTAGGGACCCAAGAACTTTGCTGAATTTCATCCAGGGTTCTGCTTGTTCTAGTGGTCAAAGCACTTGGCTGCCAACTGGAAGAGTGGTGGTGTCAACCCACCAGCACTCAGCAGGAGGAAAACGAGGCCATCTGTTTCTGTACTTATCAGCCTGGAAATTCTATGGGGCCCTTCTACTCTGTCGGCAGGGTCACTTTGAGTTGGAATTGACCTGAGGGCAATAGGTGTAGCTTTCGGTTAAGCTCTTGTGGGGTTGCTGTGTTCTGATTCCTTCCTCTTCGTTGCTGAGCCTGCGGCTTCCTCCCGGTGTCTTGTTTGTTGGTCAGAGTACCTTCCTGATGTAATGGGTTCTCAGGAAAGGATGAGTGGCCCCTTCAAGGACCTCTGCCTTGTTTCGTTCCTTCACTTTTCATTGTGATTCGAGTGAGTGTTTACAGTGCAAATTGGTTTTCCATCCAACCAGCCATACACGTTTTGTTTCAAGACATTGACTACTGTACCATCGTGCAGCAGGACCGCCCCCACTTCCTGCAGGGTCACCGGTTCCATTCATCCTTCCTTCCTATCGTTTCCTGCCTCTGAGCTTGATTTCTGGGCAAACACTGGCCTTTGGACCCCATAAGGTTGATTGTTCTAAGACCCCGAGCACCCCTTAAAGCCTATCCTTTGGCTGAAAACAGAGCTACGTGGATGAGTTAAGTTATAGGGCCATAGTCTCAGGGCTTTCCACCATTCTCTATCAGACTAGTCAACTAACCTTTTTTACTATTTTGAATTTTGTTCTCACTCCTTCCAGGACCCTCCACTCTTGATCCTGTTGGGAGCAGTTGGTAGTGGGAACCATCTAGTTCTGGTCTCAGGGTAATGGAGACAGAGGTTTCCAAGGACCCCGCGCCTTGTTGGAATTACTTTAGATGTATCCTGTCTACCTGGCCTAAGTCCTCCCGGCCTTGCTCATTGCTGGCCATCTCTTCAGAGCTCTGTGAGGGGGACTCTGTGGTGAGAGGTATGGGTTTCCTCTTCCAGGAATCAGTGACCTTCAGGGATGTGACCGTGGACTTCAGCCAGGAGGAGTGGCAGCAGCTGGAGCCTGCTCAGAAGGACCTGTACGAGGACGTGATGCTGGAGAACTACAGGAACCTGGTCTCCCTGGGTAAGGGGGCAGTCTCTCTGAGTTACTCGCCGTCAGCCCAAGACTGAAAGACCAGACTGAGGGAGAGAGACTTGACTATGGTGACAGTTTAAGTGCTCTAAGCAATAACTAAAGATAGATGACAACACGGGAAGTCATATTTGCCACACGTACACATCTGTACCAAAAAAGCATTATGATTATTTAAAGAGTTCCCAGGAATCAGTGAGAAAAAGACTAAACAAGTGATAGAAAAATGAACCACATTTATGAGTTGGCAATTCATAGATGTAGAAATACATATGGTTAGATAAATAAATATAAATATATATATATATATATATTTAACGGGGAGTCCTCTGGCACAAATAGTTAAGTGCTCTACTATAAGCCCAAGGCTGGTGGTTCGAACCTATCCACAGGGCCATTGGAAGACAGGCCTGGTGAGCTGCTTTGGACGGTCATGGCCTTGAAAGCCTGGTGGAGCACAGGTCTACCCTGCATACATGTGCTTGCCATGCGCAGGAATTGTTGACACCCCCAAACTACAGCAAAGAAGTGCAAGTTGAGAGAACAGCGTTTACTTATGATACAGACAGAGATTAAAATGAGCAATAAACCTGTGTTAGCAAGGATTGCGGGGGTGGAGTGGGACTAGCCAGTGTTGTGTCCTGTCACCCAGGGGTCACCGAGACACCTCCGTGGCACCTGACAACAGCCTGTGTTGTGCCGATCAGGTAAAGGGATTCTGTCATTTTGTGTTGTTTCGGTTTGTCAAGTGGAGCCTGCCAGCCGCCTTGGGGGGGCAGAGGAGAACTGCTTCATAGGTACATAAAGCTCTAATCTTTATGGAAGCAGGCAGCAGCATTTTTCTCTCATGGTGTGGTTGGAGAGTCGAACTGTCAGCCTTTTGGTTAGCACATACAAGGGGTCCCCCCCCCCAAAAAAAAAACCCAGAAAAATATTTTTCAAAGCCATGTATTTAAATTTTTTTACAAAACCGCCTTCTCACCTTCAAGGTACTCTCCATTATGCTTCCCACATTTGTCAAACCAGCAATTCCATGCTTGGAAACAATTTTCAAACTCATGTTTGGATGGCTGACAGCATCTCCCTCATTTTTTTTCTTCACCTCTTCCATGTTGTCATATCACTGTCCTTTCATGTCCCTCTTCATTTGAGGAAACAAAAAAAGTCAAACAAAAAGAAACTATTTCAGATGAATAAGGTACGTGGGACAAGAGAGGTATGTTGTTGTTTTTTTTTTTACCAAAAACTGGCACACTGAGGTGGCTGAGTGAGCAGGTGCATTGTTGTGGTAGCAAACCCAGTCTCCAGTCTGCCACAAGTCAGGCCTTTTTTTGTCACACACTGTTATGCAATCTCTTCAGAACCTCAAAATAGAAAGCTTGATTAACAGCCTGACCTGGTGGAACGAACTCCAAATGCACTACGAGTCACCATTTTTGTCAGTTCAGAAAGTTGATGGATGTCCAGAATGAGGTTTGTCATCAATAGACATTTCACCGATTTTGAAACAAAAAAACCACTCATACACTTGTTTTCTTCATAGTGCTGTCCTTGTAAGCTGTGTTCAACATCACAACAGCTTCTGCGGATTTTTCCTGAGCAGGAAACAAAATTTCACAGCCGCACACTGTTCTCTTAAATTAACCATCACAAAATACGTGGCTCAAGCAAAATTGCTTTCATGAAAAAAATTCACTGTGACCAGAGAGAACCTTCCCAGGCGACACCACTGGGTGCACTAACTCATAGGCTTTGCTGGATGCTCACCTAGTGGGGAAAATTGTGTACTATGAAAGCTTTGCTCAGCAGAGCTTTTTTCCCACTGTGTGTGTGTGTGTACCCCCTAGTAATTACTGTGCCAGAAGGGCTCCTTTCATTTAAAAAGGCAGAATTTAAAAAAACATGTTTTCATAGCACCTCGTAAGACAGAATAGGATTGCTCCATAGGGTTGCTGAGGCTACTAGCCTTTAAAAATGAAATAGTCTAAGAACTAGCAGGGGCCTGGGAACAGTGCACTTCTTCAAAGATTAGCCGATTGCAATCATGGACACGGGACACTGTCCCATGATATGTAGTCAGGCGATGACACTGTTTTCAGAGTCAGGACATGGCCCTGTGCATTTAACAGCTTGTAGGAAGTATCGTTGAGGTCCAGCGAGCCACTTGGAATGGCTGTGAGGTGGAGGCCCGCTCAGTGGCAGCTGACCCAAGAAGAGTTCATGTGCAACACATAGAACTCAGTCCCTGTTGAAAGTGGACCGTTTGTTTTGACACTGTATACGAGGGTAAATAAAACTATATTGCTGCAGAATCTCAGGAAGCTTTATTAAAGGTCAATATCAAACTGTGACGCTTCTGTTTCTCCGTGTGTCCTCCGTTTACTCACCTCTGAAGGTGGTGTTTCCGTCTCTCTAAGCAGAGAATTTTGCCATCGTCGGTGTCCAGCATTCACTGCCATCAAGTGAATGCCGACTCATAGTGACCCCCTGTGGGTTTCTGAGACTGTAACTGTTGACAGAAGCAGAAAGCCCAGTCCTTCTCCAGCAGAGCTGCTGGTGGCTTTGAACTGCCAACTCTGGATCACAGCCCAATGGGTAACCACTGCACCACCAGGGCTCGTTGGGTTACTCCACATCAAATGGCATTTTGGCACCCTCAAAGGACTCAAACTGTGATGTTTTAATGTTCTTTGAATTTGGGGAAGAAAAAGAAGTCTGATATCTCTACTCTCAGTCCTGTTCCTGAGGGTTTATCTGTCCTGAATTCCATGTGTCAAGAGCTCTTATCTGTATCAGCGTGTGTCCTCCAGGCTAGCAGGTTTTGTAACGTAGAACTGGGTCATGGTAGTGGCGGGGAGGATAAGGGGAAAAGGGGGAACCCATCACAAGGTTGGATGTAGAGTCTATCCCCAGGGGCATGAATATCAGAAATGAGGGTGAAGGGAGACAATGGACAGTGTAAGACATGAAATAACAACAGTAATATATAATTGATCAAAGATTCATGAGGGTGGGGGGAGGGGGGAAAGAGGAGCTGATACCAAGGGTTCAAGTAGAAAGAAATGTTTTGGAAATGTTGATGGCAACATATATACACGTGTGCTTCATACAATTGAATGATGGATTGTCATAAGATTTGTATTACCTCGAGGAATTTTGAAAATGGACTTCAGGCTCAGGGGTCAGAGCTTGGCACTGCATCAGACCCAATCAGAAAACATTCATAAGGGTCAGCAGAAAGAACTGGAACTATTCATAGGCTGTTTTTTTCTTTCTTTTTTTTTTTTTCATGTTATCTATATAAGATAGGCATGATAAACAATCTCGAGGAGAAAACAATGGGACCAATGTTTCCAATTGGACAGGGGAGAGGAGATGAGGTGGTGGGTAAAGGAGGGGGGAGCCAACAAACCCAGGGACAAGGGAACAAGAAATCTAAAATCAATGGCTAGGAGGGCCTAGACTGCATGGTGAGGTTCAAGCAAGTGCAATGTAGCCAAGAGGAAGTACAGAGAGCCAAATCAAGGTCAAACATGATAGTGAGTCAGGAAGAAAGTAAAAGGAAATTGAGGAAACAACTAAGAGGCAAAAGACATTTATAGAGGTGTAAACATAGGCATGTACATATGTAAATATATAACGATAGGGATACAGGTCTATGTACGTATATTCATAGGTTAAGCATTAAGGTTACAGATGGACACTGGGCCTCAACTCAAGTCTTCCCTCAATGAAAGAACACTATTTTTTAAAATCATTTTATTAGGGGCTCAAACAACTCATCACAATCCATACATATATCAATTGTATAAAGCACATTTGTACATTCGTTGCCCTCATCATTCTCAAAACATTTGCTCTCCACTTAAGCCCCTGGTATCAGCTCCTCATTCCCCCCTCCCTCCCGCTCACCCATCCCTCATGAACCCTATAAATTATATAATTTATAATATAAATGATAAATTTATAAATTATTATTTTGTCATCTTATACTGTCCGATGTCTCCTTTCACCCACTTTTCTGTTGTCCGTCACCCAGGGAGGAGGTTATATGTAGATCCCAAACACTTTGTGTTAGTAACCTGGCATTCTGTGATGCACACCTTTCCGACACATTTGCTGAAGACAAAATGGATGCATAAGCTAATGTGGTGAAGAAAGCTGCTGGTGCTCATCTATTACAAGATATAGCATCTGGGGTTATAAAGGCTTGAAGCTCCACAAGAGGCCATCTAGCAGGGAAGCAACAAAGCTCACATGGAAGAAGTATACCAACCTGTGTGATCACGAGGTATTGATGGGTGTCAGGCATCAGAAGACCCAAAACAAACACCCATTTTGATGCAAACCAGGGGGGTCAGAATGGAGACCCAACCATCTGTAGACAGTTGGACATACCCTCACAGAAGGGTCATGAGGAAGGGATGAGGCAGTCAGGATGCAGTATAGCACTGACGAACACAAAACATTCCTCTAGTTCTTTTGTTTTTTTAATCATTTTATTAGGGGCTCATACAACTCTTATCACAATCCATACATACATCAATT